GAAGGGACTGGATAAAAGGTGTAAGATGAGCTCTTGGAGCCTGCTGTTTCCTTTTAGTTCTGTAAAGAAGGTTCATTAGTAATATTAGGAGTCAGCAAAGTGTAGACATTGGCTTATTGGCTAAACTAGATATATAGCTTATTGAAACTACTTCAAGGGCCTGGTGCTGTGGCATAGCAGGTAAAGCCACCGCCTGCAGTGCTGGCATCCCAAATGAGTCCTGTCTGGTCCACTTTTGATCCAGCTCTCTGCTGTGGCCTGGGAAAGCAGTGGAAGGTGGCTCAAGTCCTTGGCACCTTGCATCCACATGGGAGACCAAGAAAAAGCTCCTGGCTCTTGGCTTTGGATTGGTGCAGCTCTGGCCATTGCTGCCAATTGGGGAACCCCCTGGTTCAGTGGGTTGAAGACCTATTTCTGCCTCTCCTTCTCTCTGTGTGTAACTCTGACTTTCAAATAAATAAATAAATTTTTAAAAAGCCAGTGACATAGTTTACAAAAAAATACTTTTGAAGTTCATGTAATGGCGTGGGATGGTGGAGGGTGGAAAGAGTTGAAAGAGGGCAGTCACTTATATACTTACTATAGGAAAATTTCAACATGAGAGTTAAAAGTGAATGTTATGTTTTGTGGAAAGCACTAGTTTTCAGCTATACAAGTTAGATTTATTATAGTGCCAGTATTCAATAGCTCCCTGCCAGTAATTTTTTTTTTTTTAATTTTTTCTGTGATGCTGAGCTAACAGTAAAACTCACTAGTGCATGCCTGGACATACAGGGCTTGGGCCCTCCTACTTCCTGAGGTTTTGAGTTCATATGTTTTTTGTTTTGTTTTGTTTTGTTTTGTTTTTTGTTTTGTTTTGGTTTTTTTTGACAGGCGGAGTGGACAGTGAGAGAGAGACAGAGAGAAAGGTCTTCCTTTTCTGTTGGTTCACCCTCCAGTGGCCGCTGCGGCTGGCGCGCTGCGACCAGTGCATCACGCTGATCCGAAGCCAGGAGCCAGGTGCTTTTTCTGGTCTTCCATGCGGGTGCAGGGCCCAAGCACTTGGGCCATCCTCTACTGCACTCCCGGGCCACAGCAGAGAGCTGGCCTGGAAGAGGGGCAACCGGGACAGAATCCGGCGCCCCGACCAGGACTAGAACCCAGGGTGCCAGCGCCGCAGGCGGAGGATTAGCCTGTTGAGCCATGGTGCCGGCCAAGTTTATATGTTTTTGATGTGATTTGGTGTGAAGTGTAAAGACAGTGAGATAGAGACAGAGAGATCTTCTGTCAGTTTGTTCATTCAAATGCTAGTAGTGGCAGGGGCAGGCCTTTGGCTCAAGCCTGGAGCCATGGATGGGAACTCACTGTCTCTCTCAAATAAAAATTAAAAAAAAGAGAAAACTGTACTGTTTGCCTACTATATGTGTGTGTGTTGAAATAATTTTGTTCTCTTCATAATGATGTACCTTATTGGTTTATTAGTTTGATGTTTAACAACAATATCTTTAGTAAATTATTTCACAACAACAAAAGCAGCTTTTCATTTGAGGATCATGTGTTTGATTCCTTTCTGCAAGTCCAAATGAGGGGAGTCTGCTTCTTCCCATTTTGTTGACAGTGGAGAGTATTTGGCTCCTGAAATGTGTGTGTAGACCTTAGAGCAAAGCGGGTTTTCACTCCTGTACACTATTAAGTCTAATTACTAGTCCTAAGATGCTTTAGGAAGCCTGTATGAATTACCAGAATTGAGTGTAAGGAACATACTGCTTAGTTATTGTAAATAATAGTTGTTAAAAACTACACTTATAAATTGGTATTAACTGCATAAAGTTTTTTTAATGATTTATTTATTTATTTGAAATGCAGAGTTATGGAGAGACAGAGGCAGAGAAAGAAGTCTTCCATCCACTGGTTCACTCCCCAGATGGCCCCAAGGGCCAGAGCTGTGCAGGCCAGGAGCTTCTTTTGGGTCTCCCATGTGGGTGCAGGGGCCCAAGGACTTCGGCCATCTTATATTGCTTTCCCAGGCCTTAGCAGAGAGCTGGATTGGAAGTAGAGCACCCATAGGGGATGCCAGCACTGCAAGCGGCAGCTGCAGTGTTTCGTTTCGTTTCTTTTCGTTTCGTTTCTTTTCTTTTCTTTTCTTTTCTTTTTTTTTTTTTTTTTGCCAGGCAGAGTTAGACAGAGAGAGAGAGAGAGACAGAGAGAGAGTTATAGACAGTGAAAGGGACAGAGAGAGAGTTATAGACAATGAGAGAGAGACATTTTCTGTATTGCTCTTTCATCCAACCACTTTACTGACTTCACCCATGTTCCTAGGTTTGTCTGTAGATTTTCTGTTTGGGGAAAAATATAATCTTGATTGCATACATTTTTTTCTTTGTTCTAGTTTGTATGCTTTTTGTTGTTGTTGTTGTCTTTTTTAGAATCTCTAATTTGTTGATAGTGTGTAGCCACGTCTTGTTCCTGAATTTAAAGGGCTGCTCCCAGTGTTTCGTAAGAAGTGTGACCGGTGCTTCTGGTAGATGCCCTGTATCTCTTTCTAGGTTGCTAAAAATTTGTTTTTGTAGTCATGAATGGGTTTTGTATTTTATCAAAGCCCTTTTCTTCATCTTTTGAATTAGTTCTATGTAGCCTATCCCACTACCTGGTAGTTCTATTATCATAATATTTAAAGAGTCTCAGTCTATTGACTCTTGCCTCTGTTTGATTAGTTGATTAGTTCCTCCTGTGTTTGAAAGACTATCTGTAGGGCCGGCGCTGCGGCTCACTAGGCTAATCCTCTGCCTGCGGCGCCAGCACTCCAGATTCTAGTCCCGGTCAGGGCGCCCGATTCTGTCCCGGTTGCCCCTCTTCCAGTCCAGCTCTCTGTTGTGGCCTGGGAGTGCAGTGGAGGATGGCCCAAGTCCTTGGGCCCTGCACCCACATGGGAGACCAGGATAAGCACCTGGCTCCTGGCTTCAGATCAGCACGGTATGCGGCCACAGCGTCCCGGCCGCAGCGGCCATTGAGGGGGTGAACCAACGGAAAAGGAAGACCTTTCTCTCTGTCTCTGTCTCTCTCTCTCTCTCACTGTCCACTCTGCCTGGACCATGTGGGAAAGTATGAACTTAAACTTCACACTGGTTGAGGGCTGACTGATGGTTACAGACTCCCACTGGCTACCTCTTTTCCCTCCTTCCACCTAGATTGAAACAAGCTTTTATGTTGTCTTTTGTGTTGGTGAACAGATATTTTTCTAGTCCACTCTTTAGAGTGTAGCTCTTCAAGGTCCTGGCTGTATGTTGTGGTCACAGTCCCTTCTTTTTAGTTTCTTTGAGCTCAAGCCATTATCTCTTATTTTTCATTTTTTCCCCAGGATTGTCATCTTCTCCTTTCCCCAGAACTACTGCAGCATATACTCTCTAGAGTATTGGTCTGTGTTTTCAGTTTGTTTTTCTTTCTTGGACCTTGGGGATTTCTGTTACCTTTGTGTGAGCGCAGCTTTGTATTTAAAAAGAATGCTTAGTATACTTCTATCCATACTTATGGGTGTTTTTCTGTGTAAGAATTTGCAGGAACTCTTTCCTTCCAAGCTGGAAGTCCTTGTCTATCTTGTACTTTTTTTTTTTTTTTTTTTTTTTTTTGACAGAGTGGACAGGGAGAGAGAGAGGCAGAGAGAAAGGTCTTCCTTTTTGCCGTTGGTTCACCTTCCAATGGCTGCCGTGGCCGGCGTGCTGCGGCCGGCACACCACGCTGATCCGAAGACAGGAGCCAGGTGCTTCTCCTGGTCTTCCATGGGGTGCAGGGCCCAAGCACCTGGGCCATCCTCCACTGCACTCCCTGGCCACAGCAGAGAGCTGGCCTGGAAGAGGAGCAACCGGTACAGAATCCGGCGTCCCGACAGGGACTAGAACCTGGTGTGCCAGCGCCGCAAGGTGGAGGATTAGCCTAGTGAGCTGCGGCGCCGGCCTCTCTCTTTCATTCTAAAAGATTTATTGATTGATTAGGTGGTTATAGAGACAGAGATCTTCCATCTGCTGGTTTACTCCTCAGATGATTGCAGTGGCTGGACCTGGGCCTAGGCCAGGCCAAAGCCAGGAGCCTGGAACTCCATCCAGGTCTCCAGTGTGGGTGCAAGGATCGAAGCACTTGGATCATCTTCTGCTCCTTTCCCATACATTAGTGGGGAGCTGAATTGGAAGTGGAAAACTGGGACTTAAACTGGCACTCATATGGGATCCTAGTGTCACAAGCAGTAGTTTAACCTGCTGCGCCACAACACTGGCTTCTCACTGGTTTCTGCCATTTCGGTTTTTTTTTTTTTTTTTTTTATTTATTTACTTGAAAGAGTTATGCAGACAGAGAAGGAGAGGTAGAGGGAGAGGGAGAGAGAGAGAGAGGTTGATCTTCCATCCGCTGGTTCACTCCCCAGTTGGCCGCAACGGCCAGGGCTGCACTGATCTGAAGCCAGGAGCCAGGAGCTTTATTATGGGTCTCCCACATGGGTGCAGGGGCTCAAGGACTTGGGCCATCCTTTACTGCTTTCCCAGGCCATTGCAGAGATCTGGATCAGAAGTGGAGCAGCCAGGACTCAAACCGGTGCCCATATGGGATGCCGGCACTGCAGGCAGTGGCTTTACTCACTACGCCACCATGCTGGCCCCCTCTGCCATTTAGTTTTAGAGCTGTTGATTTGGAATCTTTCTTTGATGCTGTCCTGCTTTCATGATTCTGGTATACCCAGTGTTCAAATACTCCCTCTCAGTATTTTTTTCTTTTATAAAAATTTCTTTTGCATAGAATATTTTTATAGGAACTTGTGGCAAAAGTAGAATCAGTAGGGAAGCTATAAAAATGACACATTTAATCTTGGTTTTTGTTACTTCTGAAATCTGAAATGAGATGGATGTATTTTGTAGCTGTTGATCAAGGTAACAGAAACACTAAAGGCAATTGTAAATCTGTGTGGGTCCCTTTATGTAACATTTTTAAAAATTGTATCCAAGCTCAAAATAGATAATTATATTCCTTTTTAAAAAAAAAAAGATTTTAGCCGGCGCCGTGGCTCAATAGGCTAATCCTCCACCTTGCGGCGCCGGCACACCGGGTTCTAGTCCCGGTTGGGGCGCCGGATTCTGTCCCGGTTGCCCCTCTTCCAGGCCAGCTCTCTGCTATGGCCAGGGAGTGCAGTGGAGGATGGCCCAGGTGCTTGGGCCCTGCACCCCATGGGAGACCAGGAAAAGCACCTGGCTCCTGGCTCCTGCCAGGATCAGCGCGGTGCGCCGGCTGCAGCGGCGGCCATTGGAGGGTGAACCAGCGGCAAAGGAAGACCTTTCTCTCTCTGTCTCTCTCTCTCACTGTCCACTCTGCCTGTCAAAAAAAAAAAAAAAAAAAAAAAAAGATTTATGTTTTTATTTGAAAGAGTTACACAGAGAGAGAAGGAGAGGCAGAGAGAGAGAGAGAGAGGTCTTCCATCCATTGATTTACTCCCCAATTGGCTGCAACAGCCACAGCTGCGCCGATCCAGAACCAGGAGCCAGGAGCTTCTTCAGGGTCTCCCATGCAGGTGCAGGGACCCAAGCACTTCTGCCATCTTGCACTGCTTTCCCAGGCCACAGCAGAGAGCTGGATCAGAAGTGGAGTAGCCAGGACTTGAGCTGGCGCCTATAAGGGATGCTGGCACTGCAGGTGGCGGCTCTTACCCGCTATACCATGGTGCTGGCCTCTGTCTAGTATTTTTTTTTTTTTAATTTTATTTATTTGAGAGGTAGAGTTATACACAGAGAGAGAGGGAGAGACAGAGAGAAAGGTTTTCCATCTGCTGGCTCTCTCTCCAAGTGACTGCAATAGCTGGAGCTGAGCTGATCTGAAGCCAGGAGCCAGGAATTCTTCTGGGTCTCACAGGCAGGTACAGGGGCCCAAGCATTTGGGCCATCTTCTGACTACTTTCCCAGGCCATAGTAGAGAGCTGGATTGGAAGAGGAGCAGCTGGGACACAAACTGGCGTCTATTTGGGATGCCAGTGCCGTAGGTGGATGCTCAATCTACTACACCACAGTGTATATAGTTTATATAGTATACTATGACCCCAGTTTATATAGTATTAAGTCAGAATCTAAGTGGAGGCTTGCCCAGTATGTCATAGAAAAGCTAGTGCAAAAATAACTTTAATTAAGAGGATTGATACCTTAAAATGGGGATGTTTGAATTTGAAGATGCCCTTTTTTTAGAATTGCTATGGACGCCCATGTTTTTTGTCTTTAGTTATTGCAAGAGGTGATGAGACTGTAGAAACTGCTGTGCTGTGGGGTGTTCAGTAGGATGGCCGAGTGGCAGTTTCCAGCCCTGGCTTAGAATGCTCTGCAGCTGTCACCATTGACTTAGCTGGGCCTTTTGTTCAGCTACACTGTTATGTAACAGTGAGTTATGCTCCTAATTCTTGTATACTGTGGTGAGCAGGAGGGAGGATTATCTCTTTGTCATGTCCTTTTTCTAGTCCTCACTCCTCTTTCTGTTTTTGGACATTTTCGTTTTGGCTTCAGTGCTGGGGAAATGACCACTTAAGATTCACAAGAATATTTAATAACTATTTGTTGACTGAATGAGCAGAAGATTGGAACTTCATCAACCCTGGAGTTAACCCTGGACTCCTGCAAGCCTGGAGTCTCTGCCCTTGCGATTTGGCAATTATCTTCAGGTGTCCCACTTTCATTCTCTGCTCTCAGTCGGCTAGATTGTCTTGGACAGTGGTTGCCAACTGTTGTGGGTTGGCATAGTGAGCACTGATGAGGCAAGGGTTTGAGGTTTCATTCCAGGGTACTTTCTTGCTCTGGTTAGAAGGCAGGCAGGCCACCCCAGCTAGTATTCTTAGCTGCACTGGGATGAATGAGTGTCCTTGGGTAAGCGTGTTCAGGGCAGATGGTTAGTGTAATTAGGAAAGAATGCATTGTAAATTTCCTGATGGGATAATAGTACTATCTTTCATCTTTGTATTAGAAGTATAATTTTATATTGTGTTTAAATTTGTTTGGTATTGATAGTTATTTAAGTGATACAGACTTCTTTGGTGTTCAAAAATTACATTTTTGTTATTCTTCCTGTTTCAGAGTCATAGTCTTATTGCTTCTTGCTCTACATCTGAGTTTTTTTGATTGAAGCATGCATTTAAAAAAATATTTTATTTATTTGAAATGTAGAGAGAGAGAGAACACAATCTTCTATCCACTCATTTGCTCCTCAAAAGGCTGCAGCAACTAAGGCTGCGTCATGCTGAAGCCAGTAGCCTGGAGCTCCATCTGGGTCCCCCATGTCATTGGCAGAGGCCTAAGCACTTGGACCATCTTCTACTACTTTCTCAGGAGCATTACAAGGAAACTGGATCAGAAGCAGAGCACCTGGGACTTGAACAAGTGCTGGTGTTGCAGGTAGTGACTTAACCTGCTGTGCAACAATGCTGGAGGCATGCATTTGTAGTAATCCCACAATGCCTGATATAGTGTCTTTATACAGAAAATGCCCAGGCTTTGGAGTGAATAAATGGGTAGCTCTTTTGCCTTTCCTTTTGATCATTCTTTTCCTCAAATAATTGTCAACTCTTTTTTCTTTTTTTTTCCTCTTTTGAGTATTTATTTAAGATTTTAGTTCATCCCAGCCTTTGCCCAATGTCCCTGCTTGGTGAGTTCTTCTGACCGTGTGGTCCTTGTGTGAATTACTTTGGTCTTCTTTACTACCACCACCCTCCCCCCACCATTTAGTATAATGGCTTTTGGCCTTATCTCTTTGGAACAACCTCTTTGAAGAGTGATGGGTTGTACACAGCTGGTTATGTGCACAGACCATACTGTAGTTGCTGACAGGTGGCCCTTCTCCCTGAAAGTTAGCGTCTATTATTTTCTACTTATAGAAATCAAGTTTTCTTGCAGATCCTCTTACTGCAAAATCTATAGCCTGGGTTTTATCCAAAGTCCATATGCTTTTCCTCAGAGAAGTTTTAAGAGTATGTGTTTGAAAGAAGCAGTTTTTTTTTTTTTTTTTCAGCTCTGCTATCTGGCTTTAGGTCAAGTGTACACTTTGTTTTTTCTCACTATCTTTGCTAACATCAATGGTATCATCAGTTTTTATGTCCAGTGGTCAAATAAAGAGAAACCTGTAGTGAGAGTTTACATAAGTAAATCTGATTCTTTAAAGTAGTGTGAATCTTAGACTATCTTATTTCTACGGTGCTGAAGAATATGTAGGTGTATGTGTGTGTGCGCATGTGTGTATGTGTGTATGTAGGAACCTAAGAACTGGGGACAAGTTAGAATAACTTCAGGCATAAAGTAATAGTGAAACATGTCATCAAGAGAGATTACATAAGTCTCCTCAGAAGACTACTCAGAACTGGGCCACATCCACACAAAGAGGGCAAGCTGGTGAGTCCAATTTCTACCTGCTTGTGGGGTGCCATTTGTTTATGACATTGATCATGCCTAGAGCCTTCCAGAAACAGCCCAAGTGAGACTTTTGCCTCAGAGATGATTCTGACTCCTGCTGGGCTCAGGAGGAAGAGGGAAAGAATCCCACCCCTTAGCAAAGGGACATCCTATCTCTGCATGGGGATGCTCAGAGGATTAATTAGCCTTTTTAGCCCTAAGCCATTGTGTCTTAAGGGAAAGGAAGCTTATTACTGATAAACTATAGAAAGTATTCAGATTTATAATTTAAAGTAATATATTTTTGTATGTGTTAAATGTTTAAATCTTTAGAGAATCAGAAATATTCTCTTCCTTGCAGTCTTAGAAAGCTATTTATTTTTACTTTATGTGTTTCCTAATGACATTTTATATAACCATGGACCAATTCTAAAAATTAGGAAATTCATTATTAATACAGTACTATTATCTAATCTCCAGACTATACTCAATTTTTCCCTAGTACTGGCCTTTGTAGCCATACCCTTCCTTTCTCCCAGGATCTAGCCCAGGATCCCACATTGCGTTTAGTCTCCCTTAGACTGAAACAATTCTTGGAGGATTTTTTTACATATGTAGTGAGGCATACAGAGTTAGTCCCAGGAACCTCACCCTCTCCCCTGCTTAAATAGTATATATTTAAAATATTTATTTATTTATTTGAAAAGCAGAGATACAGAGAGAGGAGAGAGATTGATTGATTGATTCTATCTACTGGTTCACTTCCCAAGTGGCCACAATGCCCTGAGCTGGGCCATGCCAAAGCTACCGCAGGGCCCCAAGTGCTTGAACTGTCATCTGCTGCCTCTCAGAATGCATTAGAATGGATTCTAAACTCCAGCCCACATGCCTGTATAAGATGTGGGCACATCCTAATCAGTGGGCTCTGACTTGCTATACCGCGTTGCCCATATACTCCCTTCCACATTTGAGTAGCTACTAAAAATCACAGTTTTGATAGCTTAAGGGAGTGTGTTGGCCGAGGGAGGGGGAGCTATCTGATAGCCTGGAGATGATTAGTCTTTACTTGTATTTGGAACTAACGATTTCATTGGTTCTGCTAGTTTCATTCTAATTCTTATGATTGGTTTTTATTAGCCATTAGAAATGTGGAGAACCCTGCATCTGAAACAGATTTGGTTCCTTTGTGAATTGAGGGGGTAGAACCTCTATGATATCCACTTATAAACCCTTGTACCATTCAATTACTAATTGAGGCCTGTGGGAAATGTGGCTGTTTAGCTGTTGCATGGAAGTAAATCCCACAATTACTTATGGGAAGTCAAGATATGAATCTTCCCATAACTTGAGGAAATGAACTTTTTACTGTAATTTACCACAGTGGCACTGGATTTCTAATACCAATGACCAGTTCTCTGATACCCAACTGGATGTTCAACATTTCAATTCAATTTTTTAAAAAGATTCATTTATTTGAAAGTCAGAGTTACACAGAGGGAGGAGAGGCAGAGGGAGAGAGGTCCTCCATCCAATGGTTCACTCCCCAACTGGCCGCAATGACCAGAACTGCGCCGATCCCAAGCCAGGAAGCAGGAGCTTCTTCCAGGTCTCCCACATGGGTGCAGGGGCCCAAGGGCTTGGGCCATCTTATGCTGCTTCCCAGGCCATAGGAGAGAGCTGGGTTGGAAGTGGAGCAGCCAGGTCTTGAACTGGCGCCCATATGGGTTGCCAGCGCCTCAGGCCAGGGCATTAACCCACTGTGCTACAGCGCTGACCCCTTCAGTTCAGTTTTGACACTACCTGGAGATAGAGCAGATCTTGCAGGTTAAAGG